GAGTGACCTCACTCCAACCCACTGTCTCGGCTTTGACCTTGTCTGGCTAGTTAAACTTTGGCTTTTTCCCTTTGCCCTAGTCCTCTCTTCAGCCTGAACATGCAGGTCACTGGCAATTTCTCCCTCCTCATCCCAGCACCCAGCCCGGCATCTTCCACAAAATAACCCCAGCTCAGCCCCTGCCATCAATCTCACAGACTTCAGTACCTGCAGATTTCATCTACATCAGTGCGCTTTCAATCCTTCTAGCCAGAAAAGTGTTTCACCTAAACAAGCCAGTTGCAAATGTACCCATTTCCCAAAGACCAACTAAACTGCTGCTTCTCACTACAAGGTCTTTGAAGCAATATTTTCTCAGCCCCTGTTACCTCCCGATTCTGTACGAAGGACCTGACCTGTCTGTACCAATTGCTACACTCCTTTAGTTTTGTTTTTAATTTCCTAGATGCAAGACAGGCAAAAGACAAGCAACAGATACACCTCACTTATCTTTGTATTCCTCCATAAATTCTTACACTAGGATACATTTGTATTATTTAATCAGGTTCGTGTGTTCAACTTCTGTTGTCCCAGGCTCACATATTACCCAATGCTTCTCCGTGATTAAAAAATTAATATTTTAAAAAGAAAATTTAGCTGAGTAAGAAATAAAGTCCTAAAACATCTTGTCAAGTAAAATATGAATTCCTCAAGATACATGGTCTATCCGGAAAAAAATCCAACCATTTTAATATAACAAGAATGGTTTGCAGAACATCAAGGAGAGTGAGCTCGAATCCACATGCATGAACAATGACGACTTCACTGTACTCGTCAGTGGGAGCAGCAGACACCACTGAGTGAGCCTATATACCGAGTGGCCATCACATTCAAAATGACTGACTGAGTAGAGCAATGAATCTGCAACAAATGTGTGTTAAGCTTGAACATTTCCCTGAGGAAACTATTTGGATGATTCAGAAGCCTGCAGCTGTGGGCAACTGGTGATTGGCAGCTTCATCACGACAATGTGCCTGCGGATACATCACGTCTGGTGCAGGGTTTTCTAGTAAAACATCAAATCACCCAGATGACTCAGTCCCCCTACAGCCCTGATTTGGTGCCCTGGGACTTCTGCCTTTCCTCAAAACGAAAATCACCTTTGAAAGGGAAGAGATTTCTGACTGTTGATGAGATTCAGGAAAATACCACGGGGCAGCTGATGGCGACTGGGAGAAAGAACTGTGTGAGGTCCCAAGGTGCCTGCTTTGAAAGGGACGGAAGCATTGCTGTCCAATATAAGAAACATTGTACGTGTCTCTTGTATCTTGTGTCTTCTTCAATAAATGTCTCTATCTTTCATATTACATGGCCACATACCTTCTGGGCAGACCTCGTATATTACAGTTTTAATAAATACGCTCAATGTGTTATGCTGAGCACATACATCTTTAGAAAATAGCAGGTTAAAGAGTTTCCTATAGCAAGTATTCTAGGATATTTCAGTATGTGCATGTCTCATAAAAGATACAGACGTCACACCATGTTTACAGCAACCCACAGGATTCTTCCTCTGAGTGACAAATTTGGAAGATGCTGGAATAATTATATTCTACCTTTCATATTTGCATCTATTCAGATTTGCTGAAGTGCTCGAGGTTATTCATTACAGCTAGAAAAGGGCACAGGAAAAGATTTGCTTTTTTATCCTCAAAATTCAGTGAGTATTTTAAAACAGGTACCATTTACTAAGTTTTTCATCTGCTTTCCCTATTTGAAACACTAATAAGAGACCCAAGTTCAACATCTTACCAAGAGTCTCCCACACAACTCGGTGAACCAATAGCATCAGGGCTACATCATAACTAGATCATTCGAATAGTTAAATAAACTTCATACTTTAAGCTCAACTGGAAAATGTTTCAGTATTTCTTTAGTTGCATAACAGTACATAATCCCATTCTTACCAAATATTGCGTGGTTTTCACATACTGTTCATTAATTCAGAACTGTCCCTTCCATTTCAAAAACAAATACAGACTCAATCAGGTGAAATAAACCCAGATTATAATTCGATTATGTTAACGTCACTCATGACTGAGGACGGTTTCAAACAATATTTGGAGAAGGACAACTGAGTGTGGCTATTTGTTTTGAAACTGTGTTTTGACAACACACACACACATCTCTAAGGAAGAAATAGAACAATGAAAGGAAGAACAGCCTGCTGCTCTGGTCACGCACACCAGTGTCATTCACAGCACCCGCAGATTTTCAACCAAATCATGTTCAGAGCTCAGTTTTACAAAATCTGTACAAATAAAACTAGCTGTTTCAGAAAATTTTGAAGGAAAAATCCATGTCTAATGCTAAGGTTTTTGACTGATTCATTCAACAACAAATATTAAGAGCGTCTACCATGTGCCAGGCAACAGTCTAGCCACTGAGGATACCGCAGTAAACAAAAGCCAATTAGATGCCGTCCCCATAGAGCATATATTACATAAATCACGTAGTACAGAGTCCCACGGAGAAAGCTGAACTGATGGAGTAATGAGGTGGTGAGGGAGGGGCAGTGATCGTTTTAAATCTGGCGAGCAGGGCCTCAATGAGAAGGAGCCATCGCAGCAAGAACAGGAGGGAGGTGGGCACAAGCCCTGTGGCTCTCCGGGAGAGCACTCCAGGCACAGAGAGCAAGCACAAAGGTCCACGGAGAGGGCTCCTGCTTTCCATGACTTCTGTATTTAATAGATGAATAGAAAGCAGTTTTCCTATTGTGTGATCTATCAGGTTGTAATTTTCTATTTGGGGCCCAGGGGAGATAGAAGCAGCTCACAGAAGATTTTAGCCATCCATCTAACCTGCTCTGCGCCTCCATGGCACCCAAGCACATCCAGCCCATTATCTGTGTCTATCAAGTTTTATTGAAACGGACTCATTCGTTGGCTTACACATTCTCCAGGCTGCTTTCACGCTACAACTGCTGAGTTGCTGATGTCTCATACAGATGATGTGGCTATAAAGATTAAAATATGTATTATCTGACCATGTACCGAAAAAAAAATTGCTGATACCTTCTCTCAGAATTCAGAAAGTTGTCTAAATCACTGCTACCTGCACCAAAAAGACATGTGATCACAAGTTAAACACAGCTGGGTAACCCCTGTGTAACGGAGGGGTAGGCACCACTTTGTCGAACTAATAAGCATCCTGAACACCTTCACAATTGGCCTATGGTGTCTAATTAGGAAGAGGAAAAATTCTGACTCTGCTTCTGAGCCAATAAATACACGCTTTTTGGACAGTTATACATATTTCTTTCCAGTCATAGCAATATAAACATGAAGAATTTTTTTTAATTTCTTAGTGGTAACAACAACCTCCTTGGTTTATTCTCTTATGTCCCTTCCTCCTGGTATGCAGGGGGAACAATTTTTTAAATCAGAAAACTGAATTATTTCCCCTAAAATGAAAAAATATATATCTAGAAAACTTGAGCACCTAACCCTGCGCAGGCTCGGAACAGAGAAGATGTGAAGTCGGAGTTCTGACAAAGAGAAGGGGAAACGTTCTAACTGTCCCGGAGGTGGCCAGTAACAGTGGAGCTTTCTCAGAGTGCCTGCGGCATAAACACGCCAACCCTGTAAAGAGCAAGGTTCCCCCCGAGGTTATGGAGGGAACCGCAGCTGCTGAGGGCTCTGTACCCAGAGTGTGCTAAATCTTCCAGTGATATTTTCAGAGAGCACTGATCTCCCAAAGCACTTAAATTTCACAGAAAATGAAAGATTTCAGACTATTCTGGCTCACTATCCATTCCACCGCTGTGTATACTTGAGTTCTGACTTATCATCCGTTTGCTCTTTCACTGTGCATTTACCAGTAATACTGGAGACTGATGAAAAGCAGACACAGCTGACTGACTGCTTGATCATCCTAATGTAACCAGAAAGGAGTGAAACAAAGTAGAGTAATTGATACTAAGAAGCACTGTGCACCTAATTTGCTAAAAGGATGCAATCGTATGAAATAGTAACCGTATAATTAAAAGCCATAAAAGTGGTGATGGGTTTTTGTCTTCTAAGAAATGTAATTCCTAAAAAAAATATATAAAATAAAATACAAAGAAATGTAATTCCTGTTCCCACTAGTCAACTGATACTTATGCTAATTTTTTGCTAATAAAGTTTATCTTTGGTCAAACCAAGGCTTTCTAGAAATGATGCACATTTGGGGGAAACAAGAGAAAACCAGCACATTGTAGAGATCCACCACATAAATTCTTCAACATGAAAGGTTTAACCCCAAAATAATTTACTAAATCACGAGGAACATTTCAAGTAAATATTTCAAAAAGACATCCAAAGAAAAAACAAGAAGCCAGGAAGCAATTCTAATTAAACATAATCCCTTCCCAAAGATTTCCAAGTACTATCAAATGCTTAAGGGACAGAAGTTTCTTTGTAAAGAGAAATGATAAGTCCATTTTGAAAGTATAATATTCAAGGGATTCTGACCTCCTGTGCAACATACAAAAATCAAAATAATATATCGTATCAGTGAAGCCTAAAATCTAACAACATACTTTCCCTTCACTACAATAAGCCTTGTATACCCAAACAGAGCACTGTTATGAGATGAGCGAAAGCCAAACAGTGTGGGCTGAGTAATACCAACTCAATCTGCGCTGTTTTGCTTTGCTACAAATTGGGACAGAAGACAGAACATTTTAGTGCAAAGTCAGAAAACTAACCTTAAGGTTCCAGAGGTGAAATCATAACTTCCAGTTTTAATGTGCTACTCAGAACCTCAGCCAAGCATTCCACCACCCACATGCCACGCGCTCCTCCTATGTCTCAACAGCAGCATTTGCAAAAGCATGTTGAGAGTCCTGAAAAACCTCCGTGTATCTGTGTGCAGGGAGGGGAGGGGAGGGGGTGGCAGCAACCTAACAGGTTTAAAAATGGATTAAGCCAGAATTTTGGAAAATGGGCTACCTCTTCAGATAATGAATAAATACATACCCCTGAGGACAGAGTTTGTCTAGCCATCCCGATTTGACCTTCCTCACAGACGACCCATAAAAACAGGCATAAGGAGATATTGCATTCGAGGAAATGACGGATGAATCAGCATTTCCACTTGTTGAGCTTAGTGGATAACTGTGCCTATTCACAGGGTCCAAATTCAATGCTTTTTGAGTCCTCGATTTAGATGCCTTTGAGTTTTTTCTTCTTAGACTCTGAAAGCATTCTTCCACTGTTGAATATTCTGAATCTGAAGCACAGTCTGCTGAGCCATTGTTCTTGTCCTTTCGAGGTATCCAAATATCTTCCACTTTGTCTTCACTTACGTTCCCCTTCCTGTTATCGTATATGCTGAGTGGAAAAGAATAGTGTAAACATTTCAAAGTGCTATTTGTCATCTAAGCTATTGGTTACTTTTTAAATTTCTAAACAACCCATTTCAGAAATTAAAGACCAGGAAAAGCTCAGAATTTAATTAATCCATCTGATAATTTTTTTAACTCTTCTAAATTAAAAACCAATATCTCATCATCCTAGGACATATCTGAACACTACTAGACATAGTTTATTTTTTCTTATGTCTCATTGAATCTCATCTGTTCACTTGGACAGTTAGGTGTAGGACATAAGGATGGAGACTGACTATATTCTTTGCATCACAACTTAAACACCTTCGCCAGCAATAACAAGTGGACCCTGGGCAACACTGTGAACGACTAACTTAGCTTGTTGAAGATCCTTCTTCTCAACTTGTTGCCTCTTCTTTGACTCTCTACTAATCAACTGCATGGACCCTCTGCTGTTCCATCACTACATAATGGAACAGGGAGTACGTCCAACTGCTGAGACCTTTTGTATTATTTTGTCACACTAATAAGCAAAAACCCTACCGCACTGCTAGCTAGAAAATGAGAAGGGGCCAGGCTCACACTAAGCAGGTCAAAGCTGGGTAGCATACAACATTTACTGGAACCCACTCATGATAGCTAAGCATAGAGCCGTGAATTTAAGGAATGACAAAAGCAGAGTCACTGAGTAGCTTATGTATAATAAAACTCACTACAAAGTAGTTTTTTTTCCTAATAAATAAAACATATGATTAGGGGTCAAATTACATCCTTCTGGATATTTCTAAAAAACGATTACTGTCTTAAAAAAGTAATTTAGCCTGGCCCCTTCCACATTTTGCACTACAATAGGTCTCTACCAAATGTCTGCTGAAGATGCGCAATTAGTGCTTTAGTATGTCCCTTAAGTTTTAGTATTCTCCTTAAGTTTAGTTTCAACATAAGGAAACCTATAACAGTGTTAGCCTTGGAAAATAAAAAATAAAATAGAAGACAAAAATGAATGTTAAGTAGTGAACCAGTATACCCAGTCCTAATAAAGCTGAGAGAGAAATAAAATTTCAGTTCGTGCCTTAGAAATTCTGTTTAATTTCATGTGTGATCCACATAAGTGGGTAACTGTCAAGCCACTTGTCAATGCTGAACTTCCACTAAAAAGGACACTAAGTGACACCTGTAGAAATTGTGCGCTTCAGGGAGTGACATTTTTTTTGCATGGCCCATTCTCCTTCAGAGCCACATAACTTCTAATCCTTAAACTGCAGTCACAGTTGCCCCATCTCTGCCACTTTGGGGAGCGAAGGGTGGTCCCAATTAGAGAAAAGCCAAAATAATCTGCTACAAAATACACTTGAATCACAGACTTGAAATTCAATTATTAAAATGAGCTCTGTTATCAATTTAAAAGTAAATATTTGAAAATAAAATCATTTAGGGGAAAAAGGGGGAGGGATTTTGAGGAACAAGTATGAAAGACACAGAGATGAGGACTGGGGGGGGAATGGGAGGGAGGGGGGAGACGGGGGGGTGGGGTGGGATGGGAGAAATAGATAAGAAAAAATGTACTTGAAAAGTAACTAAATAAAATTTAATATTAAAAAAAAGAAGTATAATTGGTAGGTATGAAATAGACAGGGGGGGACTTAAGAATAGTGTAGGAAATGCAGAAGCCAAAGAACTTAAAATAATGACCCACGGACTTGAAGTAAGGGAGGGGAGTGCTCATGGCGGGTGGTGCAGGGTGGGAGGGAGACAAAGGGGAAAACTGAGACAACTGTAGTAGCAAAATCAATAAAATATATATTTTAGAAAAAGAACATAATGGCTAACATTCATATAAAATGTACTGAATCTTAGCAGTATTGGAGAATAAAAATGAGATGACTCCCAGAAAAAAAAAAGAAAATCATTTAAAAATAAAAGATCTGAACTTACCAATGTAAACTATTTTCTTAGAAACATAATATGAGCAAGAAGACAACCCTGTATAACATTTTATTCAAAAGAACTAATCATCAGTCATGACTTTATACCTTGATTTAACAGCACAAGAATTTCTTTCAGTAGCTGTTTCTCCTTTGAGTGTTTCTTCATGGGTCCAAAATTCATTCTTTATAGACTTCTTCTATTAAGAAAATACATACGCTTTTTCAGGATTTTGATATTCTACAAAGATCTACAATATCGGGGTTTAGTTTTAGTCAATAAATGTCTGATGAGATCAATTTTCAGTAAAAACAATTTAATTAGGGAAACTATTAAACAGTAGCCTTTGGATGCCTTTTTAACTTAATAACTCCTCATTTAAACTAAGAAAAACAGAATATGCTACCCAAGAATAAAATTTATTGACTCTGACTTCCCCGATACTTTTTGTGTCCCAACTCCTCTTTTATGATGGTCGGAAAAAAAAATAGCAGAAGAGCACAAGTACTAAAGAGAAAAGAGTAAGTGATAAACAGTAATTAAGAGATACAAACTAGTTCAAAGTTTGTATTTGGGTATAACACAAAACAATACAGGGGGCTTGTTTTTGTTTTTTATGGTTTTTTTCCACTTTTTTAAAAAGTAACTTCTCTGGCAGAAAACTCTCTGAAAACCCACTGACCTGTACTTCTGAAATCAAACTAATAATGTTTTTGTGTATACATTTAAAGATACAAATTTACCAGAATTTTACTAAGCAGAATTTTACCGACTAAAAATGTCATTCTCCAGTATAACACATTCTTCAAACATCTTACAGGAAAATGAAGCACAAAATATAGTCAGAAAAGTAAATAATATGGAAAAAATAAGATGTATGAAACAAACCTTGGAAGTTTCTAGCCCCTGGAATAGAAAGGTCTCTCCATAAGGGAAGATGGAAGATGAATTCTCCTCATTTGAATCTTTTTGGGGGGAATTATAGGATGAAAATGGAAAGATGTGAATAATGTGAAATATTGTTTTAAAACAGGCATGTATATTTATTTTAAAGCAATATTGCAACTTATGCTTAATTCTCTGACAGTCCAAAATTATGCTTCTGATTCCTACCCCCAAATAAACTCACCCCCCAGTGTTCCTGATGGAGCACTCGCTGTGTACACCCCCCACTTCACAATATGACGTATTACTATTTCTTAAAGTGCGATGCATCACACACACACACACACACACACACACACAGAGGAAGCTGTCATGGACCCATTTTTAATGTTAATTCCTAAATAATGGTGTTAACAGAAGAAGATTAATGCTATTATAATTTCCAATGAATTATTAAAAATTCATTAACATGACAAATAGGTATTTTATCACTTAAAATACTAGAAGCCATTTAATATAATCCCTCTAATTCCATAGTTTCTAATACATCTAAAAATAAATTATTTCAATAGATTTCCTACCATCTTTGAATTATACCCATCTACAAGACTGACATCTCAACATCTGCATTTTATGACAGGGCAAAACAACTTTTAAAGGTTCAGTAGCCAAGTGTTCGCCATCTTATTGCTGAGAAGAATGTTCCTGAACAAGCCGAATCTTCAAAAAAAGAAAAGCCCCTGTCAATGATCAACTTCCCAGAGTGATGTCAGCCCTCTCCTGTTACCATGGCAAAATCGCTTTCCATAAATCTGTTCTGTTGCTCAGACCGTCAGAAACCACTTAACTCAGTTAAATGCCTTCAACTGTGGCTAATGATAAATGAAGCCTGTACCAAAAAAAAATCTTTTTATATCACCATGTACAAATTTCCTGGAGCCTGTGTGTATCGTACTGGCTTTCATTCACTCACCTTTAATACTGTCTGAGGCACTATGAACTCTAGCAGACAGTATTCCCATTATCCCTACCCCTGAGGGGGCTGCCTTCTCAATCCCTACACAAGCACCTGTAAGACTATCAGATGAGTGCTAATGTACAGAGACATGAAATGCTAAGACTCACTGTGCTGTGTCACAGATTTTCCAGTGGAGGTAGCAACATTTCTTCTCTCTCGGAAATAGCTTAAAAGCAAAGGGAAAAAAACAGGTTAAAACAGGTATGTAAAAATAGATAAGTTGCTATCTTAAGTATTAATTACAGAGACACACATTCTTTGGGGTAGAAAACCCATTATTGATAAATGAGCTCAATTTTAAATAAACAGAATGGCCAAATTCCACAAATGTATTTTTCTAAATAGCATAGAGGAAGACATTTCAAAGTATTTTACAAGTGTTTGCTTCTCATATTTATAATTCACAGAAGCAAACATTTTTCCAATGCCTTCATGAGCATAAAGCAACTTCAAAACCTCTACCCATACCCACCTGAGAAAAATTTCCTAACCAGCTTTCAGTACGCAGGTAGCATTTTTGTCATTAGCTCTATAATACTGAATAAAAAGCTTTTCCGGCTCTGTGAGCATAATATGGAAATACACAAATACACACGCCTTTTTCTTGAAGAGCTGATGGTCTTAGAAGAGAGACATCACAAGCAATCAATTAGAATACAACCCAACAACAACAGAGGAAACCACTGTGGAAGCAGAGGGTAGTGAGCACCTACTACGATACGAAAGAGCTCTATCTGGTCTATCGCCTGAATGGAAAGGTCTGGACTCTGTCTTAAATAAACATCTGTCCAAGTGACTACAAGCAAGCAAATAAAAAAAAGAACTGAAAGATGATTCTTTGGAAAGATCAATAAAAGTGTTAACTCTCAGGGAAGGAAAATGAAAGAGAGACAGAAAACAAATAAAATACCAACATCTGGAATGAAGGAAGGGATATCACTACAAATCCTACCAACAGGAAAGGGGTAGATACGGATTACTAAGAAAAACTTTATGGCAACAAATCAACTGAGATAAAATGGAAAAATTCTTTAAAAGATACAAATTACCAAATATGGCATAAGAATAAATAGAAAATCTTGATATTCCTATAGTCACTAGAAAAATTGATTTTAGTAATTAATGGCCTATCCACAAAAAATACATCTATATCCAGATATTTCACTAGTGAATTCCACCAAACATTTCAAGAACAATGACACCAATTCTACACAACTTATTTCAGAAAATGGGAGGAGGGGGCACTTCCCAGCTCACGCTTAAGCCCAGTATTACTGATAATAAAACCAGTCAAAAACGAAACTACAGATCAATGTTAGATAACATAAATAACCCTCAAGAACATGAATGCAAAAATCACTAACAAAATATTGGCAAATTAAATCCAACAATATATCATAAGGAAAATATACTATGACCAAGTGTGAGTTACCCCGGGAAAGCATGACAGGTGTGTAAAAATCACCCTGGCCAGCGTGGCTCAGCGGGTAGGGGCAAAGTGAAAGGCCGCCAGTTGGACTCCCAGGTCCGGGCACATGCCTGGGCTGCAGACTCAGTGCCTGGACAGGGCACATACAGAAGGCAGACGCACAGAGAGAGTGCGGAGGCAGCCGGTGGCACTCTCCCTCTCCTTTTCCCTCCCTCCCCCTCTCTCTAAAATAGGAAATAAAAATAAATGTTTTACATCTCCAAGCCCTTATTATATGAAATGTTAAAGGGACTTACCTAAGAAAAAGAAGATAAAAAAGATGAACAGTGAAAGGACAGCAAACTCACAGTTATTAACAACCACACCTAAAACAAAAGCAAACTAAGAGGACAGCTAGATCAGGAGTGAACCATAGAAATGAAGATCACATGGAGGGTTAGCAACAGGGGAGTGGGAGTAGGAGAAGGGGGGAGAAGGTACAGAAAATAAGTAGCTTAGATGGTAGGTAGAAAACAGACGGGGGTGAAGGCAAGAATAGTATGGGAAATGTAGAAGCTAAAAAACTTGTGACACGTGGACATGAACTAAAGGGGGGAATGGGGGAGGGGGTGTTCAGGGTGGAGGGGAATGAAGGGGGTGGAATGGGACAACTGTAATGACATAATCAATAAAATATATTTTTTTAAATTAATGTTTTTAAATGATGTATAAAAATCATTTAACTGGGGAGGATAAGAAAGATACCTGTTCCTCTCTGCCTCACACACTAAGGAGGATCTCCCTGGAAGGGTCACAGGTCACAACTACGACTCCCAAGGAAAGGACCGCTGGTTGGATTCGCTTTCTGCTTGAAGATCTCCCTGGGACTAGGGAGACCTCCAGATGAAAGGGGTAAGGGAGGAACTGGCTCTTGCAGCCTAGTTCTAATCTCCCAAGATCTGCTGTTTAGCACAGTCCCACCCAGCCCAGCTGTCCAGAGAAAAGGAACAGGAATTCATGGAAGAAGCCCGAGACAAGAGCAATTCAGTCAGACAGCCCACTGTGTCAGGCAAGGGTGTGGGAAACAGGGCTTCACCTCAACAGGGTGTGTCTAGCATCATATTCCTTTCACCAATGATATGAAATGGTTAATTAGTAAAGAAATTACGTTAAAAGCACTGGCCACAAAGAAATATTTTTTATTTGGCACACGCAGGAATAAACTAACCATCATTTCGATGTCATTTGATTAGAGAGAATCTCAGATGGCATAATCCATGCTCTTACTGTAAATGACACATTATAACACTTTTGAAACTTGCAATTGCTCTTTGCAGTTCTGGTGAGGACAAGTAAGTCTGGAAATAAATCGCTGCCTCATTTTATGACCTACGCCCCACGAATGCAGAGCGGCCGTTTCCTGCCATAACCAAAGAGAAATGTTACAATGGGCAATCTGGCTAGGACGCGGCTACTAAACTACTTCCTGCTAACTTAACATTACCTCAATTCTCATTTTCAAGGCCTCAGAGTCACAATGGAACATCCAGTCTTTCAGTTTATGAAAAAATAGTGCATCTTATTCAAAATGTAAGCTAACTGTTTACATTACCGGAAGTTACCCTGTGGCTCCCAGAAGGATTCCGTTCTGGCAAAGATACAACTTGAATGTGTGTGCTCATAACCAGACCACTCTCAGTTTACTTCTTTTCATTGTTTCAAATTAGCAAAAGAAATTTTAAAGCTCAAGAGTCATACAAAAGTTAGTGATCTTCTAACATTCCTGAGAAATACTCCAATTCTTATACGGGCATACCTCATTTTACTGTGTTTAGTTTTTTCTGTTTCACAGATGCTGTGTTATTTACAAATGGAAGGCAAGACCCTCCACCGGCAAAAAGGAATTTCGCTCACTTTTCGGTGGTGCTCTGGAACTGAACCTGCAATTTTTTCTGAGGTGGGCCTCTGTACACAATTAAAAATAAGAATATTTCTTAAATGAGTGGTTTAGAAAGCAAGGTTCTGGAGTCAGGTGCACTGGAATAAAACCCAGGTCTCTAGCCTCGGATCCTAGGAAAAGTAACCTAAGACTCAATTACCCTGTAAGAAACTGCAAGAGTATTACCTACTTCACAGGACCATTGTGAGGATTAGGTAACTCAAGAAAAGTTGTAAACCCAACCAGCAACCAGCACCGATGTATTTAATAAATGACACTAGTACTATTCATTTCCTGATAGAGACTAGGCTCCGCTGTGGGCGCTAGTGTTGCCAGGGTAGACAAAGAAATTCCAGCCGCTGCCCTCAAAGAGCTGCTCTAATGCCAGTTACTGCAATTAACACAGTCTTGTAAATTGTCATGTTTTCTCTTGCAAATATTAAATTTCCTGTTTTCTCTTAAAAATACAACCAGGATTTCACATTGTAATTACCAAAGTTGCCTAAGATCAAGAGCACAGAGCAGATGGGGGAGGGGAGGGGAGTGGGGACTGTGGGTGTCTTGCGGAAATGCCAGCCTCCAGCCAGTGCAAGAAATCTGTAACAGCTTTTAGCACCCAGCAGTAACAGCCAAACTCACAGCCTCATGCCTCTCAGCAGAGAGACAAGTGTTAGTTTTTAGTGAAAAAAAAATATGCCACATCAACCCTACAGAAAAATGACTATTTTAGGTGTAACTTTAAGAAACCGATAAAAGCTCTCTCTGTGGGAAGCGAGCTCCTTCCTCTCATGCGGCCGACCACGTGACATCCTTTAGGGCTCCACTTTGGAGTTCCCATGTCTAGTGGACCTGGCTCATACTGCACTGTTACCATCACTTTACTGGACTTCTGTCTCCTATGCCACATTTCAAGCCCCTCTATTCCTCTATGAAAAAAGAAACAACACACCCAAAATGGACCCACCCGGTGCTACGCCCCACAATACCTACCCCAACCGCAGTTGCGGCCTCTCCCTGGGATGTAACCTTTATCCAGTCAATGTAGAACTGTGCAGTCCACACTAGTTAGGGAATCGACAGGACAGCCCCCCAACTTCGTTCCCCAAGGAGAGTGACCTGACCTGAAATAACCCAGTCTCTGCTAGAATAAATTATTTGCCCTGCAGCCATCCACCTATAAAAGCCTTCCACTGTGTGCAACTTCCCAGAGTTCTTCCTATTTGCTAAACAGGATGCTGCCCGATTCATTAATCACCGAACAAAGCCAATTGAGATCTTCAAATTTACTTGGCTGAATTTTGTTTTTTAATACCGCCTCCTTCACACCTAGCACAGTTCCTAGCAGTACCAAATAGGTATTCACTAGATGTCTTGTTGAATCGTTAACTCATGCCATGTATTATGCCAAGCAGTAGAAATACAAATGTTAAAAACACGGCCCCTGCCAAAGAACAAATACTTTAGTGGGAAGACAGAGTCAGCAATTCAGATGTTAGAACAGCACTCATGGAAGAATGCAATGTCACGTACGCCAGGTATGGTGGGAAGGGGTGGAAAGAAACACCCAGATAAAATAAAGAGAAGGAATATCCCCCCCCAACTAAATGGGCAAAAGCTGAAGAGTTCCAGGCAGTTACAGGGTGGAAACAGCCTCCAGGAAATAGTGTTCAACAGAAATGGCATGACAAAAAAATTTTAAAAGAGAAGAAAATGTTCACTGAATAGGTAAATTAATAGAAGTTCAATTTAGGGAAAAAAACACGGAAAATAAAATTGTTTAAAACAACTACATCTCCCCAAATTGAACTCTTACAGGTTATCATAAAAGTTCTTACCTCCCCGAGAGTCCTTTTGTGGACCCTGGAATCTCCGGTACAGGCCGATGTCTCAGCAGAAAAGAGCGAGACGGCCTGGAAACCAACTTGCTGCGACTTCGCATAGGCGGCAGGAATGGTGATGACGGAACATACAAATCGTTTACAACCATCTCTCCTTGAAATTTAAAGAAAGGGGGTGGCGGTGATCTTTCTGATGAACCATTAGTTCCATTCCCAGAATTTGCTTCTGCTACTGGACCCTCGCGGGAAGAAAGGCATTCAGGGTCTCCATGAGGAAGCGTGCTCACATTTTCTGAGATCAAATCCACATTTCCTGCTTGTTCTTCTCCAACTGTATGATCCACAGCCTTCTTTGTAATCAAAGACTCAATTTTACTATTTTCACTACCAGGTAAAGAATCTTGAAAAGAATCTGACTTCAGGCACAGCTCTTTTCCTGGAAGGGGAAGGCTGTGTTCAGGGAGAGGCGGCTTGCCATCGGATTTACGGGACTGGCTGTTTTCTACACTAATGTCATGTTGATCTAGGTTTTTGGCTGCAGTTTCCAACTGCGCTGGTTTAGGTGTCTGAACCACACATGCATCTACAAGTTCTGTGCCAGTGACCCTCTGGGAAGATGGAGCATGGGGTTCCTTTGAGGTCTCACCATTCTTCTTTGTCTTATGAATATTTGCATATATTGGAATATCTTGCATTTTTGACAAGATTATCTGTAATTGTTTAATTATCCTCCTCCGGTGTCCTGTGGGCGATATTCCGATCTCGTGTAGCACGCTGTCATTTATTGCTGCACAGTCCTTCACGGTATTAAAACCAAACTCGTGGAAGCGGGAGAGATACTGCTCCAAATTAATGCTCATCAGGAAATCTTTGATATCAACATTTACTGCAGTGACTGAGGACATAATGGTGGCTTCATTACTGAGCTCATTTACAAAAAGCAGTACAAGCACATACGCACACAGGAGGCCGCACTTCCAAGTCTCAGAATGTTACTTTCTCCATAGTAAATGCGTTGCATGCTTCAGTCTAGGGGAAAAAATGAATTCATTAGGACATTGTAGTTATTAAAACCTCATTTTACATTATAAACTTGCTCTGAAGAAATACAAGCAACATGAGGATAATGACTGTCACCCACCAAACTCTTAAGTCTGGCATCTTTGTGCATTACTTTGACATCCTGAAAGTCAATTCCCAGGGAGACTGTGAAAGGCAGAAATGCTATGGTCACATCAGGGGAAAAAAATGGCTCCCACACGAATATAAAGTGGACATGTGTCAAAAATATTATCTCACTCAATGAAGGAACCAGAATGATGGTAAGGTTAGTGCCTAGAGCATTTGTAGAATGGGCTTATACAGTCCATCAGAAAAGGCTTTTTTTTTTAGTGTTAGAATAAGACTGAAAGGTTAGATTAAAAATAAACTGCTTAGTGCCCTAGGGCATAAAATTAAAGCCTTTAGAGTTGTCTTTCTACTGGAGAAAAATCTATAAGCAAATGGGTAACTTCCCAGGTCTGGGCTTTAACCGAGTAGTAAATAGAAAGTGGAGCACAAGAATTAGAACCAAAATCCCAAGGGCGGGCCCTGGCTGGCGTGACTCAGTGGAAGAACGCCAGCCTGCAGACTAAAGAGTCCCAGGTTCGATTCCCAGTCAGGGCAGCACATGCCTGGGTTGCGGGCCAGGTCTGTGGTGGAGGGCACTCAAGAGGCAATCATACATGATGTTTCTTTCCCTCTCTTTCTCCCTCCCTTCTCCTCTAAAAATAAATAAATAAAATCTCGAAAAAAAAAAATCCCAAGGGTGGGTCTATCAACAGTAACCACAACAAGGTATTAAAAGAATATGTTGTATGGTCTTTTGATTACCAAGTTTTAGATAATTTTCCTTAACAACAACTAGCTATGAACAACTTTCCCCTTAACTACACTTTCTTCAGAGACTCTCTTAAAAAAAGTACAGTTAGAACATATTTCTCAGGTCAGTAACTTTCATTTCAAGAAAGCATTGGCATTATATATACAATACTGACAGGCAAAATAAGACTAGTAGACTACTTAGTTAATCCTTAAATACATTACATAACAGGAGATTAGGTTATATGAAAGTAAAACAAAAAGGTTTAAAGGTCACATTTTCCTTACACACAGCAGATTCGCATAGGTCCATTTTTCTCCCAAAAAACATCAATAAATTTTTTAGAAGTTGACTTATTTGGGTTATGTTTCTGTAACTGTGTTTAGTTTGTGCAGATATGCAAATTTCTGAATATTATGCTTCAATAAAAAGAAAATGCGTTAACACTCATATGCTGAAGGAATAAAATGAGACACGCCCAAACACGGTAAATTCATCTGATCCAGTGTTGATGCAGTGTTTCTGGAAATCAACCTCAAACTCAGATGCTAAAACCCCAGAAATTATTAACTGTTTAAAATATCAGCAAATATTGACAAGCAGGTATAGGATAAGAGGGAAAGCACATATTATATTCAGGCAGCACTGGAGGAGCAAAGAAATAAAAATACGAACAAGAGGTGAAAAGCAGAAAATGCTTTTATCAACAAGGTATCCCTCACTCACACTCAAAGTGACAAAATATCAGGGGAAAAAAGGAGAAAGTTAAACCTCAACACCGCAAACAAACCTAGGCCTCAGATACACCACTTTGGTTATACACAACTATTCTGTAAATGAACACATTACCCAATTTTTTTGGCACGTCACAAAAAATGGGAATAATTATTTCCAAATGGGCTGGCTTTGCATCCTATGAGAAAATAAAAGTCTGTAGTGTTCTGTTGTAGCAGCCCACACTGACTAATACCCTCCTCCATCCTCACTGTCTTTGCCCCAGTTCAGACCTTCATTGTAACCTCTTGCCTGGCTTACCACTAACACTCTGAACAAATCCCTCGACCAGTCTCCCTCTATCAGTGAGTTACTGAAAATCCAAATTTGGCATATCACACCACATCCTCAAAAGGATCAAGTCTAAGCTTCTTACGGTTGTCTAACAATAACAACCGCTATGACTGATGTAAACAGCAATTATATGCCAGATACCATACCTCATACACATTTCCTGCAACGTAGGTGTCCCTACATACTAACTCCAGGTTCAAGTTCAACCTCTGTCATTCCACCCACGTCTTTCACTCACTTTAACTAATTGTTCATTATTGTTCCCAAGACAATCAATTGTTTAATAGTCCCATATCTTTTGTATATACTGTATCTGCTTGCAGATCTACGCATTTTACAAAATCTTATGCTCTAGTTAAAATTTTGAATAGGCAGTACTACCTCTTCTATGAAGGCTTCTATTGACCTTACACAGAATCATTCCCTTTTCAACATGTAACTAGGATCCCTGAAGCTTGACAAGTGCTGGTGACATGTTCAAGAGACAGGGGAGAGGTTGGTGGGGAGGATGGCAGAACTGGCTGGGAGGCCCATTTTCTTAGTTTTTTGGTGTGCAAGTGTGTTTTAATACCTTGAGCCCTTTCCTTCCCTTGCAGTATATACATGCACTTCTTGGGAGGCTGACTCTAGGATGGATACACCAAATGTTCTACCAAAAATCTCTCGCAACAATCAGTCAACATGCTGAATGTGGCTAGGGAACCTGATTCCTATTCTTGACTCACAGTCCTCTGTGTACTTTGTATCAGCTCCATCTTCCAATCACCTGACTTTTTAACTGTCTTACCACCAAAAGGTGTTCACAGATCCACTTCTTTCTTTAGAGGCTTCTAGCCTCTATGCACATCATCAGATGCAAAGACATGGACATGCCTAACTATAAAAGTCTCCTATATTCAAACTCCTTCATATGAAAGCAAAGCCCTCCATGTGCTCCAGGTCAGTGGCTCCCCAGGCACTGGTTCCTGGATCTGCTGTGCAGCAATAAGAGCTGGTAACAGGCCTAGGAACCTGTGTCTGTAACACGTACCAACAATGACTCGGATGCGCACCGAAGTTCAGTAATCACACTGTAAATTCCTCCCGCTCCCCAGGATGCTTTATACCATCTCACCTGAGCTGAAGCTCGTCACCTGCCTCCCCTAGGATGGAATGTCCCACCTACCACACTGCCCACAAGCCTGGAGTCAGACTCACAGCGTCCCTCCCCTGCTTGGGAGCAGTGTAAACACAGGCACATGTCTGGACGTCAGCTACCTTAACCACAAGATGGAAACACTCAAAGGTACCTCGGCACTGGTGAAGCTTAAATAGGATAATCCATCTGTAAGTGTTAAAATAGTGCTTAGTATATGGTAAGTGCTTAGCAAATATTCAGTTCCACCATTGTAATTTTTTCTTTTCAACAGTTCAGTCATTATCTTCCCACAGCTAAATCTTTCCCATTCTTTGAAGTCTAACTCAGATGCTATTTCCTTCACAAGGTTTCTATGGTACAAGTAATAAACGCCTTTATACATCCACGGCATCTACTTTTTAGAGCATTAAATTACATTTTATTCATTCAACAGCAACCTACAGAAATGGGATAATACTGTGCAAAAGCCAAGATTTTGGAGCTGAACAACCTGTATCCAATCCCAGTTTCTCAATTTATTCGTTTTATAAGCTTGGACAAGCGTTTATCCTTTCTGTGCTTGTTTCCTCATAGGAAAATAAGGGTATTAACAGTACCTACTGCATAGGGCTGCTGTAAAGAATTGAGAACACTAACCACACACAACAAATGCTAAATACTAACTGCCATTGCAATTATTTCTGTTATCCCATTATAAACTAATACAAGGTGATGATCAGCTGATATAAACTGGCCAATAAATTCCAGTCAAATTATTTGTTTATAAACTTAGCGCACGGCGTACATGTAGAACATGTGTAGAGAACGTATGAATAGCTGGCATGACAGGCGTGCTTGTGCACCTGCCCATCCAACCCTGACCCATTTCCAAGAGGAAGAAGTACTGAAAGGGAGGTAACATTTAAGAGCACCTGCTACATGCCTGGCTTGCAACATCATTTAATAAACCTGACCTTACGACCTTACTGATCTCTACCTTGGAACTACATCCCGAACCAACTACTTCCCAACACCTGCCCTGGTCACATCCTATTCCAAGCCATTATCTTATCTATTTTAGACCATTATAATAGTCTCCTAACTGATAGCCCAGATTCTGTCCTGGTCTCCTACCCACCCACCCCAACAGTATGGTCTCAGTATAGCTGCCAGATGACATACCACAGTCTGTCCAGAAAGTATCCAGCCATGTCCTATTTAAAATTAGAGACATTTACTGAAGAAGACACAAGAAACATTGTACAGAGAACAATGATGCCTTAGTCCCTTTCAAAGCAGGCACCTTGGGGCCTCACACAGTTCTCCCAATCGCCACCAGCTGCCCCATCATATTTTCCTGAATCTCATCAACAGTCTAAAATCTATGCCATTTCAATGGTGATTTTAGTTTTGGGAAAAGCCAGAAATCACAGGGCACCAAATCTGGTCTGTAGTGGGGCTGAGTCCCCTGGGCAATCTGATGTTTTGCCAAAAACTCTGCATGAGACATGATGCATGAGCCAGTGCATTGTCTTAACAAAGCTGCCAATCACGAGTTGCCCATAGTTGCGGCCTACTGAATCATCCGAACAGTTTCCATGGAGGAATGTTCGAGCTAAATGCAAAATGTGATACAGATTGTTCCCTCTACCTGCTCAGTCATTTTGAATGTCATGGCCACACAGTAAACATGCTCACTCAACAGTGACTAGTCAAGTCATCATTGTTCACACCTGTGCATTCCAGTCCACTCTCCTTGGCTGCCAGGTTACATCGATGTTGTGCAAACCATTCTCGTTATATTAACAATGGTTGGACTTTGGGGGTCCAGACAGATCTCCTATTTTATAACAAAAGTCATTCCAAAAAACTTCCCAACTTTCCCTGGCTTTCCTCCTCTATCGCTCAAGTGCCATCAAGTTGGTCTAAGTCTTCTTATTCCCACCTTATGACCTTATCTCTCATCCTTCCATCTCTTTCAAA